TTTACTTTTAAACCACCTGCTCCTGTGTGGGCGCCATAAGGTTTTTATTTGTAATGTTGCCCCCCATAGCAAACTGCAAACAACAGACCAAAGTATTGCCTAACAAACAGAACAAGTTTTCCCCCCCTGTCTGTTTCAATGCTGCACAAATAATACAGAGACATAATGCACATATGGCACAGACAGAACAGAAATTGGTTTCCTGTTTACTTTGTTTCCCCACCTTCTGTTCTGCTCTGCCCTGCTTCTGTTAATCCTCTCACACTGAAGACTCATCCTTGCTCATACGGTCAAGGATCCAGGAAGGGGGAAATGAGAGCGTATACTTCAATTGGACACCTAAAATACACCTTGGGGAGAGCAAGAAAGTAGGAAAGATACAGATGTGTCTCACAAACCTTCCATGCTAGAAGTGGTCTGTTAGTTTAACACCGCTGCCAGGGCACACAATGGCCCGAATCAAAAATAGTGAATAAACCTCCAGGTTCAGTTTAAGTTCAAGATATGAACATTTATAATAACTTGTGCAGGGAAAAAATAAAGAGGAAAAATTCAGGAGAACTGCTGTCTGAGGACAGTAGTTTGGAGACTTAACAAACCGGCAGTTTACCAAGTAATTTACAAGCTGAGGCCAGTTAGTTTGTAATTGACAGCAGTGTAGAATCAAGCAATTAATCAAATTTATTTGTATAGCATATTTCAAGAGCAAGGCAATTCAAAGTGTTTTACATCATAAAAACACAAAAAATACAAAGTCATGAAACACAGCCAATAATTGAAGCATGACATTTTGTTTAGTGGCTTTATTACACATGCTATGTCAACAGCAGATCTTCCTGGTTTTAGTCAGAACACCACCAGCAGCATTCTGGCTCAGCTGCTGACTTTTTAGGCCGACCTGTAAAGGTACTGTAGCAGTAATCAGTGCGACTAAAGATAAACACATGGATGTGTTTCTCTGGGACATTAGTCCTTTAATCCTGGAAATGTTTTTTAGGTGACAGAAGGCCGACTTTGAAACCGTCTTTATGTGGCTCTTAATATCCAGGTTTTGAGGCTGATCACTCTTAGCTGTAATGACAGCATATGACAAAAACAGTACTTAGGAAAGTTAAAAGTCATAAAATTGTAATTTCTGCTCCAGTTTAACCTGGATTTTTACTTTAATACACATTGATGTTACCACTGTTTTTTTCCCATAACATAGAATTGGTTCTTTTTTTTCAAAGCAATAATGTACAGAAATAGCTGTTCTTATAATGTTTCCCTGAATAGTATTAAAAAACTACCTCTTTGATTGTTTTTGACATTTCAGAAAGATTGGTTGAAATGAAATAACATTATGTTTCCCATTTACTGGTCCAATAAGAATCTCCTCTGAATTGCTTGAAGGCTTATATGTTTGGTTTATTATGTTTTAGTCATTTCTATTGCTGGATGCCCTGAAAATTTATGTCAATTTATGTCACTACCAGTGTTCCATACACCCAACAAATTAAACTGTATTTATGTTTTTGGGTTGTTAGCATCAGCTAATGCAAACCACTGAGGTAATTTGGAAACTTTAGTTTCACAGAAATTAAAATTGATGTCTGGAAAATAAACTTTAGTAAGTATAAAATATTAACAAAAAGATCAATCACCATGCTGTTTATTTTTTGTTACAGAAATGGGTTTTCTGTAATTCATATGATCTAAATTCAAATCTTTCTCATTAAGATTGCACAATATTGCCATTACTCTTCTAATCTGTACATCGACATGTAATCTCTGTTGCCATAGAAAAACTCTTTACATCACTGTGCTTCAGGCTCAGTAAACATCTTCCTACAAAATAATAAAGCCTGCATACGAGGAGCAGCCGTAATATCAGCCCTAAATAAATTTCCCTTGATAGCCTACGACTCTTACCAGGCTAATGTACTTCTTTCATCCTACTCTGTGTTTGTTTGGCCGCATTCACAAAGGATTCCCTCCAGCGTCCACTGGGCTTTAGTCTTTAATAACTTTTTATATAAGTTTGATTACTGAGTTGGGTCTGATTAAAAAAAAGGGAACTGAAGCACAGAGGGAATGTGGACCATATATTATGGACAGAGCAGGTCAGGAAGAACCTTCAGTAGAAAGAGCCAAACATGTTTTATGGAGGAATAAAGCGTAATGGCTTTGTCCTCTGTGAAGTGACTCTGGAAAAGAGGATCTATTTTTATCTTGCTGCTTATGTGCACACATGGGACCTTTTTTATTTAACAGTACTTATTATATAAGTCTTACTGGCTATAAGACGAGTCTGGCACTGTGGTTGAAGGTGAATCTTTATGTCATGTTTTGCAAGACATCTGAACCGTTTTGAAAGGTACATTTCTTGCAATTCATATAAGAGTATTTATTTAAGCCAAAGAAGCAGAAACTCAACAATCACATAGGAAATTAAATTAAAAGTCACAGAAAACCTTCCCGATTAGACAGATCGGGGTTGTTATGTTTGACTACTGTAAATGCAGTGACTACATTCCCAGCTAGCATTGAATGTTTGAAGCACGTCCGCTAAACGTTGTCTTGAACGTCCGCCGAACGTCCGTGGTTACGTTTGATCGACGTCCAAATGAAACTCCAAAAGACGTCCGTGGGACGTCCTCCCGGGACATTCACCGGACTCAAAATCGACCATCATTAGACTTTTGGCGGACTTTCATTTGAATATCCGCTGATTACTTTCAGCGGACTTTCGCATTTTATTCAAAAATCAAAAGCTATATAATGGTTATGCTAGGTCCGTGGAAATGCTAACATAGCAGCAATTTTATTGGAATGAAAGGTTTTCATGAGGAACAGTTGTCTTCCATTTCCATGCGATATCAATGCAATGTTTTAACAAATTGTAGAAAAGGAAGGCTGGCCCCACACTTACTGTTTTCACATGGAACGGTTGTCTTCTGTTTTCAAGACATATTAATCTAATGTAATAAATTGTAAAATCGATGACAACCACTTAAAAACACTTGGCAAAGAATTTATTATAGTATTAACATTAAAGACTACCCACAACAAAATATGATAATCACATTTATTTATACATATGTACCAAAAAGACATGAAACCTTCTTAGAACAAAGTAAAACAGCACAGTATACATTTTAATACAATGGGATTTTAGAAAAGAAACCCGGTACTTAATAATATAATTTTAAAAGAAATATTTACACCAGAACTTATTTTATGAGCGTTGACACATGCACAAAATAATAATAACAAAAAAACAAAAACAAGCAAAAAAACAAACCAGACAACCTTGAGCCTTAAAACTTTTGGTGTTCTGAATCCGACGCTTGGTTCTTTGGTACAGTTTTTGAAAAACATAAATATATAGAGGAACAGTTGCAACATGAAACATTTTAGTGAAGACAGGGGTGTCCAAAGTGAGGCCTGGGGGCCATTTGAGGTCCTTGTGATGCTTTATGTGGCCCCAGACTGCAGTTCAACAGCGGTTCAAATGCAGCCCTTCAGCAAATGGAGGAGATGCAGATGCTGGTAATTTATATCTTCTTCTTTCCTTTATCAGCCAATTGTTCCTGCTTTAATTTTGATATTATTATTAAAGTCAGGCCTGAAACTTCCCACGACTTCTTCTTCAGAAACAGATGGGCACTTTCATTAAGCTCGTCTAAACACAATGAAAACTTTTAAAGAATGTTGTTGTTGCTGAGAATGGACTATAAACATTTGCGTCAACAAGTTAGGAAATAGTGATGCAAACCTTTTTTTTTAATTTTTTATTGAACATCTAATGACATTTCATGGGCCAACAAAATGTTGTTCTCTACTTTGTTTATTTCCACTGGTTTTATTTTGTGTATTTAACTGAAAAACAAAACAAACAAAATTATGGCTCCAATGGAGTACTCTCACTTTGGCTGTTTCAGCCAGAGTTAAGAATTAAACTCATCGCAGACGTAAGAGACTTCAGACCAACAATTTCCATGTTATCTCAACTGAAACTATTATGCATGAAAGTATTTTAACAATCCTGGTATTGCTGACAGTAGGACTCAGGAACAGATGGCAGAGCTGACATATAAACTGATCGGGGAGGCAGCGTCGCCGTGCAAGCATGGCGGTGCCATCAGATCGGACTTGGGGGCTGTAAGGCTTATTGCCAGAGCTTTAACCAGCATCTGCCTCTGTCTGGATGAGCTCATCACCACATGGACCACGGGGGAAACATCCAGCTGCTGCAGCGCACTGAGGAAAACCAGAGACCACTTGGTGAAGCAGACCTGCTGACCATGAAGGAGCAGAGGAGTAAAACCTCAGATTTAAGGTCATGACATGGAGGATGGTCTGGATCGGGGGTGTCAAGCTCATTTTCGTTTTGGGCCAAATCAAGATCATGAATGTTCTTAAAGGGCTAGTCGTGCCAGAATGTACTGATAAGACCTGTTCAGAAACGGTTAAAATATTAATAAGAATTAATTTTAAAAATTAAACATCTTTTCATATTGTTCAATCCCTTCAGGATTTTGCGACTGATTTTGTGATTTTTTTGCAATTAAAATCAAAAATTTTGTGGAACTAAATTAGAAATAGTTTTAAGGAATTTTGTAACATTTGTATTATGTATGACATTAACTGCGACTTTGTTAATTCTCATATTGATCATGGACAAACTAAACGTAAAAGTACAAAATACTGCCACCTACAGGTAGGAGTTAGTGGTCAGTTAAATCCAATGTTTTTGACCATTTTTTGAGGAAAATTTGCTGTAAACTTACAGGCATGCATTATCGGGAAAAAATGTGGGCATTAGCTGATTTATATAAATTTCCACAATCGGAGAAAAGTGGGTGGACTGATTGATGCAATTTAGCATCTGAGTTTGACACACGTTTAGTACAAGTAACAAAGTTTTTGACAATGTTTGAGAAATATCTGCAATGAACTCTCAATTATGTATTAGAGCAAAAAAAAAAAAAGAAAAAAAAAGAAAAAGGGGGGATTTGTTGGTTTTGTGTGAATTTTCACAATAATTCTCAAAAAACTGGAGGGACTGATATAATTGGGCAGTGAACAGATAAAAGCTGCATTGAGTTGACTGATAACATAATATTTAAGCACACTTAGTGTTCAGTTAGGAATCTAGAGGCCACATAAAAAGCTGTGGCGGGCCGGATTTGGCCCACGGACCTCAAGTTTGACACACGTGATACAGAGTGTATCTCTAAAAGAAAGAAAGTCAACTTTGCTTTCTTTTTATCATGCAACATTGTTTCCTTTGCCATCCCTCATTAAATAAACACGATTGATCGATGATAATGGAGACATTTTTCTTTTGGAGAGATGTTGATTAAACCATATCTGTCAGCTCCCATGAGCCCCAGCTGTTACCTGTTGTTGTGGGTGAATATAAAGTCAGCTTTCATGTGCCTGATTTTGCCCCGAGGAGTGAAATGTTTTTGTGCCTTCCTGCATTTGGCATTTCCACAAATGTGTGCAGTTCTCTCCACCCTCGCTGCTGGCCGACTTACCGAGACAGAGCTGAGTAATAGAGGAGAGAATAGACTCAGACACTGATCAGCTCCCCCACTGGGCTCAATGAAAACATTACTAAACTGTAGAAAATCCTATTACCTCAGCTGGCACCCATGGAAAACAACTTTGATCATTTTGGTTTGGACATCTGATCTGAAAAAAAAAAAAAAATCTCAATATGAGAACAAACTCAGGCTTAATAAAGAAAGATAATTTAGTAAAGCGGGTTGAAAAACATGAGCTGTCAGTCTGGTTGAATGCAGTCATACTCAATCAATTAGAATATTATTGAACGGTTCCTGAAGAAAACCAACAAAATGAGGGGAAAAAAACAAACATCAACCTTGTTACATCTAAATGTTCTGATAAATGAAGCTGCTTCCTGGGATTCAATCAGCGTCTTTAAATGGGTTTAATTTCAACATCTCATCAATCAATCTCACAATTTTACTGAGGTTTAATCAGAAGCATGAAGTTTAAGTTACTTTCATAAAGACAGAAATCAAAAACTAAACAAAAAAACTGCCACTGTACAAACTGTACAAGAGATGAAAGACATTAATATGAGTCAATTTCTACTTTTCAATATTGAAACAAGTCACTGGAAACCACACTCTACCTGCAAACTGAGAATAAGGATGGAGTTCCTACAGCGTGAGAGTGCGTATCTTCTCTGAGCCACATGTGGTCCGGTTCAGCCACTTCAGCTCCTCTCTGGAGGGACAGCAGCTTTGGCTCCCACACCAGATCCATTATCCCTCAGGTCATTTCTGCCACACCGAGTGGAGCCGGGCTCTCCTTCCTTTTGGGACGTCCCACGGCCCCTTAATTTCAGTTCAGACTCGGGCCGCTTATGTGAAGCGCTTAGAGCTAAGAAGAAAAGTTTCTGAAGACACATCTGAGAGGAGACAGCTTACTGCATCGTAGACCAATATGAGAATCCACGCTCGCTCTCCGTCTTGGTCTCTGCTGACTGTTTTTTGACGCGACTGCATTCATCTCACATATACAATACAATATTTTTACTTTGATATCTCTTCCAGCGAGCAGTTGTTGTTACTGGATGACATTGTCCATTTTAAAGGTGCAGTGTGAAAGGGAACAAAACTAAATGAAGGATAGAAATCTATCATTCCCCTGCCAATATACAGGAGGCCCTTGCTGTATTTTGGAGTGAAACAACCTTTAATTAACACTGAGTCATAATACGACGAAGGATCTTTATACAATCCAGTGTGTTGCCGCAAATTACCAATTTCAAGCAGCTAGATAAAACCCCAGGTGTTCCTTCTCTGAATCCCGTTAGAGCTCTATTTTTGGCTCTGAAGTATCACAACATCAGCAAGTGACACAAAATACTTGAAATATGTTTTCATCCAGTGCTTTGTGTTGATTAAAGCAGTGATGCTGAAGATGAACACAGAACCCCAAAGCTACTTAGAAACTGCAAACATTGTTTCCTCTCCTGAAATATCCTCAGTTGGATTATTGAAGACTTTCTCTAATTCTGCGGCAGGAAAACTTTTTAATACAACAGTGACACTGCGGCTCAAGTAAAGAAAACATTAAAGCAAAAATATCGGCTTGTGTAGAGATGACATTTCTCAAACTGTATGCATGTCTAAACCGTTTGCAGAAAACTTACTTGTGTGTAGAGTAAAATTGTGACAAACATTTGTAGGCAAGAAAATGTGAAGTTCTCTCAATGCAAGGTTAAATTAAAGAGAGCAGAACAAGGCAGCAGAAGAAGTCGAGCGGTACATTTGCACATGGAGAACAACTGTGCAACCAACTGCACTCCTGTGCAGCTCAAGTTTGAGAATGCTTTCGCAATATTTAGGCAAACCTTGTGTGAGGAGAAAATATCTTCTGAAATAAACATTAAAACCTTTCGCTGTTTAAGGATATTCGCTTATTGATACCTTTTAAAATGTGCATCTGGATTTGAAAAAATGTTAGAGCCTTGAATGCAGCTTTTACCAACATCTTGATTTCTGTAAATCAGCGAAACTTTAAGAAAGAATGTTACACATAAAGATAAAAATTTGATTTATTTTGTTTCAAATTAGTGAGTCTTAAACTGACATCTCAACTTGCTTTAGACAGGCATATTTTTAAATGCACAACAAAAAATTAGTTTTGCCATACTGACTTTGCTAAGTAATGGGGTCAACAAAATATAAAAGTTTTTGCCACGTTGGAGGAACCCAACGCACAGTGATAAAAGTTTAACATTTTTCAACTTTCATGGGTTGCGCTTGCTACGTGTAGAAGCTAAAAATTTCTCATGCACAAATTTTGCCGGTTGCTTGGCTGGATGAGGGCCAGCAACTGTTGCCTCAACAAGCAAGTACCATAGAAATCGAAAGTGGAGGGAGCAATGTCGATGAGCCCGTGACTCTGCAGGGGACCTTCGGTTTCCTCGGCTTCCTGTGCTGCTTGTATGGTCTGGACAAAGTGCACATTTAGGGCAGGACCTTGAGGAACATAGTTAAATAATGGTGGGAATCATTCAGCGTTTCTGGAACCCGCAACAAAAACGGTTTATCTTTAGAGTAACATTCATTGTCTTGTGGCTATGCGTTGCTTTGCTAGCTTTACAGGCGAGCAGTTCCTGATGTACTGAACTTGCGTTCCTGTGTGTCCAGACTGCTGACGTCAACTCTGCAGACGTTTGTCATGCATAAACATAAGAGCAGGAGTGTAAGGGAAAAAACAAGGTGTATCTGGATTTGTTACTGACTTAATCATCTGCAGTGCTGCTTCACATCCTCAAACTGAACATCAGAGGTATTTGCTGAGGCAATCTGTCACCGCGGCGACGGGTTTCTGCTCTTGGGTTCTGTAATAAAGCAAACCCCCCTCCGCCATCACCTCACTCTCTCCCCTTCTCCGATTCTTATTCTGTCTCTCTGGAGTTCTGTAATGAAACAAATCTCTCTTCAGGATGTGGGTCAGTCTGCCTCTATTCCCCTCACAGCCCTCCACCGTTCTCTACAGTCTGGCTCAGATGGACTGCTCCATCACTGTCACAAGGTGCCAAGATTGGATGCCAAGGTCGCTAATAAAGACGAGAACCACATTTCGCTGCCTTATAAATACTCCTGCCCAGTCCGTGTGTTTACTTTCCTGTGTCTGCAGGTGTGTCTCACTGTAAATTTGGAGCCTGTGTGGAGCTCACATAAACATAACCTGTGCTATTAATCTGAGTCAGGGTTTACGTCTCAACAAGACACTATACACAGGCACAGCATGTTTTTGATGTTGTGATCAGCCAATTATGTTTTACAAGAATGTGATTTATAAAAACAGAACAATCAGAAAACAGTAACAGTAAGCAGATTTGACATCATTGTGATAAAAATGGGGAGAATTGAACAATAAATAAGATGGAATACCTGAGGGAAAAAAAGCTTTGGGGTGTCCAACTCTAACCGATTTGGACTAACACGGATCAATGCCAAAAGTAGAGGGGCTCTCAGACAGATGAGTGACCCCAGTATATACAACCATCATTAAAGTCTGGCTCTAATGTCTGTGGTGCACCATAATAAGAGGTCAACGAGGTTTTGCAAAGTACAAATTGCAAGTCAACGTCTATTTAGATTATTAGGTTTTCTTCTGGGCAAAATGCCACTCAGCTCTAGGCGATTCCTGATGCGGCAGAGCAGGTGTCAACAGCAGATTTTGTTTCGATCATAAAGCCGTTCTCGGCCAAAAGCGATTCAATCAACAGAGATCGGATCAATAATTATTGTCGCATCTGTTTATAAGAAAAGTTTCAACTCACAGAGAACACAAAAATACTGCAGGGTTTTTTTTCTTTAACCCAAATATTGAGTTTCTGCTGTTGGAGAACCCATCTGGGTTAACATCGTGAGCCTCACTATTCTTCACATTTTAGGCTGTATAACAACTTGATCAAATTCCCTAAAGATGTTCTACAGGAAGGAATTTATATATATATATATATATATATATATATATATATATATATATATATATATATACCGTGGGTGGTCACCTTGGGTCTTGTGTGGTAGATCTGAGCTTCTATTGCTCTGGTGTTTAGGGCCTGTTCCTGTGCAGCCAGGATGAGGGCCTCCGTGCTGTCCTTGAGTCTAGCTTTCTCTAGCCATTGGTAGGATTTCCTGATATCAGCCACTTCAGTTATTTGTCGGTGGTACATCCCATGTAGGGGCTTGTCCTCCCATGATGGTTCCTCCAGCACCTCATCCTCTGTTCCCCATTGCCTGAGACATTCGCTGAGCACATCGGCTGTTGAGGCTTTGTCCTTGATGTATTTATGGATCTTGGATGTTTCGTCCTGGACAGTGGCTCTCACACTCACTAGTCCTCTGCCTCCTTCCTTACGGCTCGTGTACAGTCTCAGGGGGCTGGATTTGGGGTGGAACCCTCCATGCATGGTGAGTAGCTTCCGAGTCTTAACATCCGTGGCCTTCATCTCTTCCATTGGCCAGCTAATTATTCCTGCAGGATATGTGATTACTGGTAAAGCACAGTTTTTATAGGGCCTGCCCTCTTAGCTACGGCAGCCCGTGAGGTACATAAAAAAAGAACAAAACTTTACAAAGTGCAAATATAATTAAACAAAACAAAATACAAATCACCAACAGTGCTAATCAAAACAGACAAATATTATTAAACAATCTGCAACATCCTTTAAATAATTTACAATAAATAGTCTACAAATTTGAATAATTTAGGCAACTTAATTGAAATGGTTCACTATCCATTACAGTTGTAATTTTATATGATTAATTTGTTTTGCTAGCAGCCTACTGCATTTTCATCTGAAACTGCTATAACCTTTAATGACCCCCCCGGTTTTAAAACACATGTTTCTATGCAGCAAATACCATTTAACTTAAAAAAAATAATCCACTGGTAAAGTTGAGAGGCAAAGTGACACAGGTATTGTATCTGCCTTTGTGAGAGCTCAAGCCTTTAAACATAGAAGATTATTTTGTGATTGTTTTCGTTTATGGAAAGTCTGGATATTTGTAACTGTAAAGATGAAGTATGTCTGAATGCATGAAAGATGAAAGTTACAGGTGATCCATCTTTGTAATGGGTACATCAAATATTTTCTGTGCTGAAGAATTAAGGTAACAAAAATATGTTTTTTAGTATTTCATTTATTTTCAGTTATTTTTAACCTTCCCAAACACAGTAAAACACACACACACACACACACACACACACACACACACACACACACAACGCTGAGACAAAGCAAGACAAAACTAGCACAGAAATAGATGAATAGCATTTAAATTTCTGTCAATGGCAAGAAAACAAAGTGTAGACTTACACATGTATAATGTAGCTATAATGAGCTTTTCCAATGGTGATTTTAGAGGCTACATACAGCAAAAAGTGGAACTGGAAGTGCACAGGCAGATGAGTGAGATTTGATTTTAATAGTGCTAGACAGACAGGCGATCATAAATCAGAGTAGGTGGTGATATTGACTGCTTTTTCATTACTCCGGAATAGGTTATTGATCAATTTTTTATGAAATTCTGTGTCTAAAGCTCGGAGAACAAACATTTCTGCAGGCCCAGAGTGCCAGCAGCAGACTGTCGACGCGTCACCTGATTGGCAGGCTCACCCTCCACCGCTGTGCCACAAAGAGGAAAACATTCACAAACACACAATCAAGCCGCTGCACAACATTCCTCCCATGACAAACCGCTCTCTTTCTCAAGTACAGCCGCACATCAGACACACACAGTCACAGCAACTTACAATAGCTTCAGCCGTTCTCATCTGCTCCCTGCCGTCACATTGCTATCTTTGCTCATTATGTCTCCTTTGTGTCCCTGTCCAACTGCCAAGAGTGACGGGGCCGGGGCTCCTATTGTTCCAGGCTCCGTCTATCAAGCAGCACTGCAGGCTTATCAAAATGAACATTACCATAACACTGGAGCCATCGGCATCTCCGCCGTGAAATAGAGGAAATACCAAAGGTGAGCTGAGCAGAGACCACAATGCAGCGCCGCGTAATTGTGTCTTGGTATTTCTAGAGCGACAGGTAATGGAAGGCTAATGGCTTTTCCCAGTCTGGTGCATGTGTTTGTTTACATACACAGCAGAAAAGGATGCACAAATAAGAAAGGATGCCTGTCCTTTTTCTCTGGCATTTTAACAATTTTAACTAAAGTGCTGTAAACGACCATCTTTAAAGACGATTACATTTAAAGGTCCTCGTTCACCCAGGTTTTTTATTTTCATTTTTATCACAACACAAATATAAATGAACAAAAACAATGGAATGTATACGAGTTATTAATTGCATGTATGACACCAACGTCTCCTCTGATGGCACCTAGAGGATAATCACTATAGCACTCGCATGAACAAGCTTATTCACATGGGATTTTCTTCTTTAATGGAAACACCAAACGTATTTTGACATTAGTAGAGAATAGGCAAGGATTTACGTAAATTTGTAATGGAAACACAGCTGCAGTCGACTTGCATCGAGAAGGTCCTGGGTTCAAATCCCAGCCTGGCGTCTTTCTGCGTGGAGTTTGTATGTTCTTCCAGTGGACGCGTGTTCTCTCTGGTTACTCCGGCTTTTCCCACAGTGCAAAAATATGGCTGTTATAATTAGGTTAATTCAACACTCTGAAATGTCCATAGGTGTGTGTGTGTGTGTGTGTGCTTTGATTTACTTCAAAGTAAATCCTTGTGGCATTTTCAGTTCCTGCTGCTATGACGGTGCTCCTTCCTATTTAGATTGTCGGCTATTTCCCCATTCATTTAACCGTTAAGTTTTGCCCTACTCGTCTACAACACAGTGTGACACAAACAGAAATAAACTACACAAATAAAACTGAAGTACATATTGAAAACTCCTCACCTTATTTACAAATTAGGTTCCTTCTGAGTGCAGCTGGTTAGCCTGCGATTTACTGAGATGCATCAGGGCAAAACTGGATTAAATACACATTGATGACACTTGATTTTTATTTAAAATGAATATCTAAAGCTCTGAGGAGACCACTTAAAATGATCAGATTCCCTGATTTTTACTTTTTACAGGTTTATGTTTGAGTAAAATGAACATTGTTCTTTTATTCTGTGAACTACTGACGACAAAAATGTATTACTTGTTTGCAGAAAATGAGAAATGGTCAAAATAACCAAAAAAGATGCACTGCTTTCAGACCTCAAATGATGCAAAGAAAACAAGTTGCTGTTAATTTAGAAACAACAATGCTAATGTGTTTAACTCAGGAAGAGTTCAGAAATGAATATTTGTTGAAATAACCAGAAGGTTTTCAATGGGGTTCAGTGCAGTGGTCTCTTATTTCCAGAGCTGTACATCTAACATAAATCTATCTTTTTCTTGTCACTTTATAGTTATTTTCAACTTTATGTTTGTTTATCAGATAAATTCATAATAAAATATATTGAAATTGGTCACTGTAACGTGAGAAAATGTGAAAAAGTTCACAGGATGTGAATATTTTTACGAGGCGCTGCAGGTAATCTGAATATTAATTCCCCTGATATGCATCAGCCGCTCATGCAGATGCATGAAGACATTAAGAGGTGGGAGGGACAAACCGTCTATCTCTGCAGCTCAACTTGTAGCATTTGGTCATTTGGCCAAGGTCAGACTCTGAACCAATGATTGATGGATCCTCCCTAGTAGACGCCCCTCAGCATTTTCTCAACTAAGTGAAGCATGTAAAGAGTTTGAAATGAGAATTTGTTTAACACTGACAAACGTACCAGAACTCAGACACACACACACCCACAAAACTACAGATGGCC